ATTTAGCCATATCGAGGGTTAAATACATTGCAGGTCTGGCCAGGAGCTGAAAGCTACAGTGCCTTGAAAAAGTATTCATGCCCCTTGAAATTTTCCACATTTTGTCATATTACAACCAAAAACGTAAATGTATTTTATTGGGATTTTATATGATAGACCAACACAAAGTGGCGCATACAGTTAGGTCCATATATATTTGGACAATTTTAGTTTTTTTTTTCAGGTTTTTTTGCCAAAACGTATTCAAGCTATAGTTATATAATGGATATGGGCTGAAAGTGCGCACACTTAGGTTTAATTTGGGGGGATGTACATCCAAATTGGAGGATGGGTTTAGGAATTACAGCTCTTAAGAGTAGCCACCCCCCCCCCTTTTTAATGGGACCAAAAGTAATTGGACATTGAATCAAAATCTGTTTTATGGCCAGGTGTGGGCTACTCCTTCGTTATTTCTTAATGAGTTAAGCAGGTAAAAAGTCTGGAGTTGATTCTAAGTGTGTGGTATTTGCATTTGCAATCTATTGCTGTGAACCTACATCATGCATTCAAAGGAGCTGTCCATGCAAGTGAAACAGGCCATTGTAAAGCTTCAAAAACGGAAAAAAAATGCATCAGAGAGATAGCAGCAACATTAGGCGTGGCCAAATCAACAGTTTGTTACGTTCTGAGGAAAGAAGAATGCACTGGTGAGCTCAGCAACATAAAAAGACATGGACGTCCACTGTGGACAACAGTGGTGGATGATCACAGGATCCTCTCTATGGTAAAGAAAAACCCATTCACAACATCCAGACAAATGAAGGACACTCTCCAGTAGGTGTGGCGTATTATTGTCAAAGTCTACAATCAAGAGAAGACTTCATGGGAGCAAGCCAGATTAGATTTTGCCAAAAAACATCTTAAAAAGCCAGACCAGCTCTGGAAAAGCATTCTTTGGATGGATGAAATTAAGATTAATCTGTACCAGAATGACGGGAAGAAAGAAGTGTGAGGAGGCTTGGAACAGCTCATGATCCAAAGCACACAATGTCATCTGTCAAACATGGTGGAGGCAGTGTGATGGCATGGCTTCCAGTGGCACTGGGTCATTGGTGTTTATTGATGATGTGACAGAAGACCGAAAGCAGCCGGATGAATTCTGCAGTGTTTAGAGATATACTGTAAGCCCAGATTCAGCCAAATGCAGCAAAGGTGTTTGGATTGCCCTGTATTTGGCTTTATCCATCTTCCCATCAACTCTGACAGCTTCCCTATCCCTGCTTGAAGAAAAGAATCCCCACAACATGATGTTGCCACCACCATGTTTCACGTGGGGATGATGTGTTCAGGGTGATGTTGTTAGTTTTTCTGCCACACATGGTGTTTTTTGTTTTTAGTCCAAAAAAGTTAAATTTTGGTCTCATCTAACCAGAGCTCCTTCTTCCATGTTTGCTGTGTCCCCCACATTGCTTCTCACAAACTGAAAACTGGCTTTCTTTTTGCCACTCTTCCATAAAGACTAGATTTGCGAAGTACATGGCTAATAGTTGTCCTGTGGACAGATTCTCCCACCTGACCTGTGAATCTCTGAAGCTCCTCCCAGAGTCTCTGATTAATGCTCTCCTTGCCCAGCCTGTCAGTTCATGTGGACAGCCATGTCTTGGTAGGTTTGCAGTTGTGCCATACTCTTTCCATTTTCAGATCATTGATTGAACAGTGCTCCGTGAGATGTTCAAAGCTTGGGATATCTTAATAACCTAACCATGCTTTAAGCACTTGGTAACTGTGCTTTGCCGAATGACCGCTACAATGCTGTTACCCAGTTCTGGGGGGGGGCATCATATGCCGTCCTCCCAGAACGCGTCCGCCCAGGGCTGTGCGCACTCACGATCTCCTTTTACCACCTGTCAAAAGACACAGCAGATCACAGAGTAAATACAGTTGCCAGTTATCGGGCAGCACTTTCCTCACACTGTCACAGCATGAGGAAAGTACTGCCAAAAACTGTCAGCTGTCACAGAGGAGATTGGCACTGATCATCAGTTCCCTGCAGTGCCACCCACCAGTGCCCAGCAGTGCCGCCAGTCAGTGCTGTCAGTCATTGTGCCACCTATCATTGCTGCATATCATGGCAGCATCATCAGTGCCTACCAGTGCAGCCTCATCAGTTCAGCCTATCAGTGCTGCCTATCCGTGCCATCTCATCAGTGCTGCCTAACAGTGCCCATCACTGCTGCTTATCAGTGCAGCCTCATCAACACACATCAATGAAGTAGAAAAATTACCTGCTTGCAAAATTTTATAATAGAAACAAAGAAAAACATTTTTTTTTTTGTTTTTTTTGTTTTTAGTGCAAAAAAAATACAACACGCAGTGGTGATTAAATACCACCAAAAGAAAGCTCTATTTGTGTGAAAAAAATTATAAAAATTTAATATGGGTACAGTGTTGCATGACCGCGCAATTGTCCTTCAAAGTGTGACAGCGCTGAAAGCTGAAAATTGGCCTGGGCATGACAGGGGTATAAGTGCCTAGAAGGCAAGTGGTTAAACTTCTCAACTACGTTATCCCTGAGCTGTCTGATGTGTTCCTTGGCCTTCATGATGCTGTGTGTTCACTAATGTTCTCTAACAAACCTCTGAGAACAGGTTTCATAGAACAGCTGTATTTATACTGAGATTAAATTACACAAAATGGACTCTATTTACTAATTAAATTACTTCTGAAAGCAATTGGTTCCACATTAGATTTTAGTTAGAGGTATCAGAGTAAAGGGGGTTGAATACAAAAGCACGCCACACTTTTCAGATTTTATTTATTTGTAAAAAATGTTGAAAACCATTCATCAGTTTCCTTCCACCTCACAATTATGTGCCAGTTTGTGTTGGTCTATAACTTATAATCCCAATAAAATACATTTACGTTTTTGATTGTAACATGACAAAATGTGGAAAATTTCAAGGGGTATGAATATTTTTTCAAGTCACTGTATTTGCAGTGTGTGCTGTCATCTATCTGCTTGCCTCAAAAAAAAAATATTTGGATGCCTGGTACATGCTAAGCATGGGTGAGCTCCTGGACCTCAGCATCCGACTGGCTCGTAAGACTGAGGGGAATGACAGTAGCTTCATTCAGTAATCAGTCCTTTCTCCTCTGTCATTTTTGTGTGGAGCTTCAACAGCTCCGTGTCCCTTTTAATGTGTGTGTAAACCTCAACAATAAACCTCTCCTGTTTGCTCCCTTTTTTTCTGTTAAAGTTTTTTAAATCTATTTGACAAGTGCAAAAATACCCAGTAAGCTGATGACTTTATAATTTAGCATTGTTCCCAGTTCTCGCTTTGAACTACTGAACACCTTAACCGTATGTTTTGGAGATGAGAAGAGATAGATGTGTTCTGTAGTCCTAACATACTCCCTGAAAAGAAAAAATGCAACCACCGTACATAAGGACTAGTAAGCTGCAGTTTTGTTCTTGGGTTTGGATACACTTTAAGTAGTATCTCTATTATTGCTTGCTTTGCTCAGATCATCTCAGAATTGTTTCTTTGCACTGAAAAAATTATATTTGTGACCTTCAACCCTAATTTTCTTACTCTGAGGTTAGCATTCCTTTTATCTATGCATTTTTAACATTTTCTATTTTTCTGCTATTGTTTTTCAGCAATGCCAGAAAATAAATCCGTTATGTTTTTAGCTTTAAAATTGTTTGATTTATTCACAGATTGTTAAACAAAACTGTATTCTATTGTTTTACGTACCATGGGCTTTTAAGCTTTTTTTTGCATTCTGTGGACATGTGCCATTCACACAGCATTGAAACCGTGGTAGTTGTTTTAGCAGACTATGATTGACAAAATGGTGGCAAATCCATGCTGTTCATGGGTTGTATTACAAATGTAAACGGCCATAGATGGATTGAAATTTGCCTGGCTGAGCAGGGACCGACCAAAGTTTGATCCATCTATGGCTAGCTTTAGTGCCTTGATACTGCACGTCCTGCACATTGTTCATGGAAGAGCTGATTTCATCAGAGCCTTCTCACACCTGCGTTTTTCTTCTGTAACAAGTTTAATGAAAGCGAGACTAAAGGGAGAAATACTCACTTTTCTTCCATCCCTTGCCAGCACCAACATCTTCTTCTGTGTGCCGGTTAATGACCATCTTCATTGCCCAATGCGAGACAATGTCATTCTTGCGCAGGAGCTAGTCATCCCAACACGCAGGGATCAGGCTGTACAATGTAAGCTGAGCTGCTCATGCACAGCTCAGTTTGCATGCTGGGGATCGCCGTGAGCAGGTAGGTAGGCATGTTTTTGTTGTAAAAAAGACATTGTAAGTCTCTTCTGCAATATAAAGCCTGCCTGCTCAAAGTGATTGACAGCGGAGCTTTAGTCCTGTTTTAATCTGGTTTGCCTCTAAGGCAGAACAAGATATTAGAAGGTATGCAAGTCCACACAAAATGAATTGGCATTCATTTCTATCGAAGTCTTTAAATTAAACCTCTACTAAGATGGGAATGGCTATTGCTGATCTACGTTGGAAAATGCTAGTTGCCAGGATGTCTCTGACCTCAGCATTTTATGAATCATTGACCCAGAACACGCATGAAAAATATGAAATTAAATTCAGAACCTCTGATATCTAGGTTTGGAAGATGTACAGTATGTAGTGGCAGCCTCCAAATTTTCTCAGGGCAAATTTCCTTTTCTAGTTTTCCTATCTTTAAAATCACATATGACTAACACTCTACTGCCTCCTTTTTTTACATTGGCTGATCAGCTAATATTCATCCCAGTACCTGTCACCCTTAAAATGTTTGTTTCTCCCTCTTCCCTCACTGTGTATGCAGATTGAAAGTACAAATGAAACATTGCAGATGCAAAACTGACATTTGGGTGCACTGCCCTTCATTCCTACCTCAGTTCTCCTTAACATGACATATCTTTGTTTTCTAGGGTTAACTTAGGTTGAGGTTTTTATAAAATAGCGTGATTATGTTATACAATAGTGCTTTATTAATGTACACATTGTTTGTTTGTTTTTTTTTCCAGGATTCTCCTCTGTTTGACTTGATCAGGCAAACAAGGGATCGTGAAGAATCAGTTGACCACCCAGAAATCGCCAGTGCAGCACAACAGCCATCACAAAACAACCCTACAGCTGCAGATCTGTAAGTCTACAAAGAACTATCCAATATTGTGTTTTAAACTTTTTGATTAATTTCCCATTTAATAAACCAAGCAATAACTTGAAGCTAGATTCCAGACAATATAAATATAACACCAGTCACTCCACTTATGTATTGCTTAAAAATCCCTAATGTGCCAATTTATGTAGAACCATTGTAAGTACCTGAATATGACTGTATTTCAGCCTCATGTAATCCCCTCTATAGCAGCAAATAGAGGTAAACTGACAGCCAGTCAGACTGTATTGCTTAGTAAAGCAAGGGGAAAATACATTGATGAATTATACAGTATTGTGAGGCTTTGACAATTTTTCTAAAGCGCTAATATTTTATTTTGCAGTTTGTCATATTGTTTTTTTCTCCACTTAGATTCCACTTTCCTTTGAACTTATGAAAATGTTAATCCGTTTCCCCTTACATTCCATTATTCACTGCAATTTACTGATTTTCATGACACTTTTAGGCCTGTTTTAGGTTGTCCATTTTTCAGACAGATCTGATCCTCCAGTCTTTTCTATGGAGTGGTAGATGTAAACAAACATATGTCTGTTTACACCGGCCTACATCCAATCCTACCCTATCCTCCCTAAATAGATGGATGGGGATCAATTTCCCATCCAGGTGGTGGATCAGATCAGATGGCAGTCAGATGTAAACGGACAGGCAGCCATCCGCTCAGCAGGAATCAGCAAGTGGACTCCAACGAAGTATGTAATCTATTTAGACATGACATGTGTGCTCCATGGACCGATTAAACAATGTAGTTACAGAAAGACACAGATGCTTGTGGTGTTTCCAGATTATTACATTTAGTGTTTCACTACTGGTTTTATCAGTCTGTTATTAATATTGCATTGGAGTTTCATTCAGAAGCTGACAAAATCTGTCCTGTCCCCTGCACCCAAATGAGCATGTAGTACAGCAATGTATTATCAGCATTACTTACATGATTATATACAAGTTACCTGCAGGGAAGGGCCAGAATTTCTGAGTAATATTCTATATGCTTCATGTTACATGACCTGAAGTTTGTCACATCTTAGGAAGACTTCTGTGCCCACTATGCATTATGGCTGTAGCATCATCTTTGTAGCATCATTCCTTGTCCCTTCAGTTTCTGCGTGCTGCGTCTTTCCAGCACAGTGTGATTGTTGAGACCTAAAGCAGCTGGCTCATTTGTCTTATAACTGCTGATTAATGATGCGGTATATACAGTTTTTAATTTTTTTTTATCTTGTGCATATATGCTTCTTGTATATACTTTTTGTGGTTCTGTTAAATTTCTATTCTAATAAAGTTCCAAACTGTCAGTTTGACTTTTTAAATGATGCAGATATTCTAATTTTTAGAGTGCCAAAAAGACAATTCTGTAATTTGCCAAAACTTAACACCATAAGCGTCTCACTCATAAAATTTTCATGGATCACTACTGTGATTAAAAACCATTCACAAATCCACCAGGCAGTAGAGAAGCTGTGAAGATCTTAAACAGAAAGTGCAGACCTTTGTGCAGTGAAACCTTTTGAATTAGATCCAAATACACAAAGCATTACACTCACATTTAGAGGAATTAAAATGGTCACAGTAATGCTAATTGAAGGAGCCAGGTGTAGCCGTATACCCCTCTGTGAATCCATCAGGATGCCTCTCACATGCAGGCAATTACTCCATTAGACGAGTGCAGTCTGCACTCATGCGCCTGTCAAAACCAGCTGGAACAGAAACTCAACCAAAGTGATCCTGACGAATCCACAGAGGACTATACGGCTAAACCTTCATTTAATGATGATGTGATTGTTTTATTTAATCTGCAGTGGGTATAAAAGAGAATTACCCCCTTTAAAATAATCACATTTTGTTGCTTTGCAGCTTGAAATGAAGACACAGTTTTTGTTTTATCCAGCTTTATATACTCATTGCAACTTACAGTGGGGCAAAAAAGTATTTAGTCAGTCACCAATTGTGCAAGTTCTCCCACTTAAAAAGATGAGAGAGGCCTGTAATTGGCATCATAGGTAGACCTCAACTATGAGAGACAAAATGAGAAAAAAAAATCCAGACAATCACATTGGCTGATTTGGAAAGAATTTATTTGCAAATTATGGTGGAAAATAAGTATTTGGTCACCTACAAACAAGCAAGATTTCTGGCTCTCACAGACCTGTACCTTTTTCTTTAAGAGGCTCCTCTGTTCTGCACTCATTACCTGTATCAATTTCACCTGTTTTGAACTTGTTATCAGTATAAAAGACACCTGTCCGCAACCTCAAACAGTCACACTCCAAACTCCACTATGGTGAAGACCAAAGAGCTGTCGAAGGACACCAGAAACAAAATTGTAGACCTGCACCAGGCTGGGAAGACTGAATCTGCAATAGGCAAGCAGCTTGGTGTGAACAAATCAACTGTGGGAGCAATAATTAGAAAATGGAAGACATACAAGACCACTGATAATCTCCCTCGATCTGGGGCTCCACGCAAGATCTCACCCCGTGGGGTCAAAATGATCACAAGAACGGTGAGCAAAAATCCCAGGACCACACGGGGAGACCTAGTGAATGACCTGCAGAGAGCTGGGACCAACGTAACAAAGGCTACCATCAGTAACGCACTACGCCGCCAGGGAGTCAGATCCTGCAGTGCCAGACGTGTCCCCCTGCTTAAGCCAGTACATGTCCGGGCCCGTCTGAAATTTTCTAGAGAGCATTTGGATGATCCAGAAGAGGATTGGGAGAATGTCATATGGTCAGCTGAAACCAAAATAGAACTGTTTGGTAGAAACACAGTTAGTCGTGTTTGGAGGAGAGAGAATGCTGAGTTGCATCCAAAGAACACCATGCCTACTGTGAAGCATGGGGGTGGCAACATCATGCTTTGGGGCTGTTTCTCCACAAAGGGACAAGGACAACTGATCCATGTACAGGACAGAATGAATGGGGCCATGTATCGTGAGATTTTGAGTGCAAACCTCCTTCCATCAGCAAGGGCATTGAAGATGAAACATGGCTGGGTCTTCCAACATGAAAATGATCCCAAACATGAAGGAGTGGCTTTGTAAGAAGCATTTCAAGGTCCTGGAGTGGCCTAGCCAGTCTCCAGATCTCAACCCCATAGAAAACCTTTTGGAGGGAGTTGAAAGTCCGTGTTGCCCAGCGACAGCCCCAAAACATCACTGCTCTAGAGGAGATCTGCATGGAGGAATGGGCCAACATACCAGCAGCAGTGTGTGCCAACCTTGTGAAGACTTACAGGAAACGTTTGACCTCTGTCATTGCCAACAAAGGATATATAACAAAGTAATGCGATGAACTTTTGATATTGACCAAATACTTATTTTCCACCATAATTTGCAAATACATTCTTTCCAAATCAGCCAATGTGATTGCCTGGATTTTTTTTTCTCATTTTGTCTCTCGTAGTTGAGGTCTACCTATGATGCCAATTACAGGCCTCTCTCATCTTTTTAAGTGGGAGAACTTGCACAATTGGTGGCTGACTAAATACTTTTTTGCCCCACTGTATAACATCCAAGTGAAAGATATATAACCAACATGTTAGAAAAAAAATTCTAAAACAGAATCATCACTGAGTTGGAAAAAGGATCACCCCCTTCCTAAAAATGACTTGTAAACTCAGTCAGGTGTAGCTAATCATCTTCTCAATGGCACACAAAGCCATTTGACTTTAAATTGTGATCCGCTTTGGTCATTTTGATTATCTCAGCATGAAAAGATCTTTCCTGGAGCATTTCACTCCCTGATAGTGCAGCTGAAGCAAACAATCAGCTAGGCACTGTCAGAAGATCTTTGGAACAAAGTTGTGGACAGGCACAAGTCAGGAGATGGATACAAAAACATGTCAAAGGCCTTGTCAATGCCTAGAAGCACAGTGAAGTCTGTTATTAAGAACTGGAAGGTATTTAGTAAAACACAGACTCTTCCTGGATCAGGACATTGCTACAAACTGGATGAAAGAGCCAGAAGGAAACTGGTCAAAGAGGCTAACAGCACCTCTGAAGCAGTTGCAGGAATTTATGACAGAGTTGTCATTGTGTGCATGTGACACCAATATCACAAATTCTCCACAAATGTGGCTTGTATTGGAGGGATGCAAGAAAAAAAAAAGACACTGCTCAAGAAAGCCACTTGCAGTCATGACTAAACTTTGCCACCTTGAAGATTCTGAGGCCACATGGAAAAAGGTGTTCTGTAAGATGGGACTAAAATTGAATTATTTAGCCTCAACACTGAACTGCAGCATGGACTGGAGTACTTGTCAGGATAGAAGGAAGAATTGATGGGGCAAAATATCATCAAGATCTTGAGGAAAATCTGCTGCCCTGTGCCAGCAATTTGTCAATGGGAAGATGACAATAACCCCAAAAAAAATGACCACACAGTGGTTGAAGGAGAAATAAGTGAGTGTCCTTGCATGGCCTAGTCAGAGCCCAGACCTAAACCCCATTGAAAATGTGTGGAATGACTTGAAGACTGCAGTCCACAAACTGTCCCCATCAAATTTAACTGAACTTGAGCAGTTCTGCAAAGAGTGGGCAAATATTGCAAAGTCTAGATGTGCTAAGTTAACATATTGCAAGAGACTAAAAGCTGTAATTGAAGCAAAAGGCGGTTCAACAAAATACTGACACAAGGGGGCGATACGTTTTGCAACTCAGTGTTTCTGTTTTTTATTTTTATTTTTTTTTCTGACAGCTGGATAAAACAAAAAATGTGTCTGTCTTCATTTCAGGCTGCAAGGCAACAAATGTGGGTGATTCTTGTCTATACCCACTGTAAATGTGAGTGCACTTCCTGTGTATTTGGATTTATACTAAAAGGTTTCACTGTGCTAGGGTCTGCTCTTTCTTTTTTATATTATATCTTCATATATAGAAAGTAAATTTGTTTGTGTGGTTTGTCAAAGGAGGAAGGGAGAGAGGAGGAGAAAATGGTGTTGGCACACACAGCAGAGGGTTAGAGGCAGCATTCAGTGTTGGACTTGCTGCACTCCAGTGGCCTCAAAGCAAGGTAGATGTTTTTAGTTACCCTTATCAAAGTTTTGGGGTTGGGTCCAGTTTTGCTTTAGGTATATAATGCAAATATTTAGTGTTGAAGCAACAGTTCATGCACCAAATGTACTAATATCTGTGTTGTAATTTTCAGTTATTTGTCACCTTCAAGAACAACACAGCAGGGTGCTGGCACTAGTACTCCTACCTCATCCAGTACAAATGGACAGGGCCCTGCACCACCGCCACCTCAGCAGAGATCTACCTCACTGTCATTGTTTTACAAGAAAGGTATATGAATTGACAATTTAAAGGTGGTAATTGTTTTTCATAGTTACCAGCTTTTTTTTTTTTTTTAGCTGAGAGGCAATGGAAAACAGATGGTACTAAATAAAATCCACCTGAATTTAGATCAGTGTTTCAATATCTTTTCTTTTTTTATTGATAAATCTATAAAGGCTATATGAAGATTGAACTAAGAGTTTTATGACTGATGTTTAATCATACATAATATATTAGATTCTGCATTATTAAAGAACGTTTTTTTGTTTTTTGTTTTTTTAAAGAAGTCTGCCATGTTAGAAATATGGTTTCTCACAAATTTGCTGGTTCCCTGAATGATATGCCAATACAATGGTTTTGCTAGTTAGGCACTAACATGTAATAATTTTCCAGCTAGTGTTTTAAGAGGAACCAGACATTATTCAACCAAGTAGAAGGTTATGCGCCAAGTAGTAAAGTAATAATTGACACTCGAGGAACATTTCCTGTGTTATCTCAGGCTGTTTAGCCCTCTTAGTTCTTATTTTGAAGTTCAGAATGTTTAGCCTTTATGTTTTAGATATCTAGTCCCATGAGGCTTTGCAAGCCACTGACAGTTAAAATCATGACTCCCAAAGGCAGAGGCATGATAAGACTTGTAGTTCCATAACAGCTGGAGGGCCACAGGTTGAGCACCCATGGCAAGAGCTGAGTGTATTTAAGGCAAGTCAACAGGTATTTTCCAGTACTTGCAAGTTCTTTAAAGGGATAAAGCATGGGGAAATGTGCATGTGTTGCAGATGTGTACAGTACTTCATACATTCATTTTTGGGGGTTTTTTTTGGCTTGACATACTCTTTAAGTGCATGTAAACTCTCCGAATGAACCCACTGAAATCTGTTAAAAACAAAGCTCTTAGTAGAGGATAGATATAGAAACATGATCTTGTGGCTCACAGTTTACCATTATAAAGTTTACTATTATAATTGCAGAGATTAGTGCCCCTGTAAGCAGTAAAGGATAATACTGAAAATGCCTTGGAATCATTCCTAGCCCCCTTTCCTGATGCTGGTATATATTTCTTTACTAGTAAACGCAGGCCATTGCTACCTCTATACAGCTATGTGATATTATAATTTTATCTCCTGTTTTCTATCACACCTATTGATATGTGAAAGGAATGACATCTAAATACATTGTTTATCTATGTACATTGTACTGGGTGTTGACTTACTGCCTTATTTTCTGCTATCTAGTGTACCGCTTGGCATACTTAAGGCTCAACAGCTTATGTTCCAGCCTGTTATCTGAATACTCTGAGCTGGAGCAAATCATCTGGACACTTTTCCAGCACACACTGCAGCATGAGTATGAGCTGATGAGGGACAGACACTTAGACCAGGTAATCATGACGAAGTCCTGCAGACAAATATGTGACCCATTCCTGTAGAGATAGGCTTCATTTCATATATATTACCCAAGCATGTGGCTTTCTCTTTTTTTGGTATTTGTCAGTGCATGCACATTACACATTTTTTGGTATTATAATTAAATTAAAAGGTCATGTTTAACAAAGTATTTATTTCTTTCTCGTCCATTGAAAGACACAGTAAGTCTATCACCTTTAGTTTATACTGCTGCCTAGAGGAGAAATGAACACATGAGAACAAGAAAAAATAACCCAAGGTATTTCCTCCACCAAGGTCCAAGGAGGTTGGATGTTTCTTCAGTTCTGCTGGGAAAATTCTAACCTATTTTTGCAAACCTTTTCTTCAATGAAGATTTTTCTTTACATTGCTGCTAGAGCTGGTCTCTACAATCACAGCTCTCCACTGAAGCATATCTTCTGCTTGGCCTTTGGAGTGACCTGTCTGGACCCTCACTTGACTGGACATTGTGGAATTAGCTTGGAAGTGACTTTCGAGCATTGGGTCCTTTAAACTGCTTTCCAGACCAGGTTCTGGTAACAAGTAAGCTACTGAGCAAATTTTCAGGTCCAGAGCTCTTGTGGGCCAGTTGGGTTGAGCACTTGGAGCTAGCTTGTTTGTTTGGTTTGCTGGCTGCCTTTTGCAATTTCCATTTTTCACCATCTCCTAAGTCACAAACGTGATTAATGCTGAGGGACTGAACTCTGATGTCATCTGCTCGGTGCAGTGTTCTGCACATTCCAGCACTCTTTCACCCACCAGTTAGCATCGAGAATGCATTTCCCCACTGCTGCTTCTGCATTGCAATGAGCTGGGTTGAACTTCGACCTCTTTTTCATTTCTATTGCCCACCTACAGTCACTTCTGACCCACCAAACCCCTTACTGGTTACAAGCAATTTAGGTTTTTCAGCTACCTGAGGCCTCGCCTCAGCTGATGAAGGGCATTTCCCTAAGCAACAAATTTTCCACTGTGCAAGCAGATGAAAGGAAAGTCGAAGGCAAATAGAAGAGCAAGATTGGCAAAAAGGACTGTGCTCTCCTGCGCTTACATAAGCCCCATCCACTGAATATATGACTCCCTCTCATGTTAATGGTAACAACAAGTAGATAATAGTTAGAGGGTACTTCCTGTTCAGAGCTTTTTACACAGGGATTTTACATTTTAGTGCATGCCTTTCAATCAAACTCATTAAATTTAAATTACTACACTATGCCAGTGCGCTTTGTCTCTTCTCCTTGATGTTTTTATTTTTTTCTAGCAATGTCTTCATGTGCTGGAAAGACTTGAGGGGTCATTTTCAGCATTGTCTCACAGGCAGTACCTGGACCCCACAGTGAAGAAGAAGCAAGGCCGGCCTGTAACTTCCTTAATGCACTAGTCACTATGTTAGGAAACCACCCTTCAGTACAGTCAGTGCAACATAAATGGGAGCTGCAGAGTGCTTTGTATGTCCAGGTTGAGAATAAAATTTTGTTGGTTTCCTGTCTTTAAAGACTCCTGGGGAAGTTTGCATTCTGAAAACCTACTGTTTACTATCTAATGTGCAGTGAGGACTACACCAACAGAAGTTAGTTTGACCCTTATTTGAAGGGGGACCCGGGATGCGTGCCTTGCTACTCCCTTAGGGGTGTGTACAGTTTGATTAAATGCTTGGACACATCTGGGTGTTCCATGTGCCACAGCTAGCAAACAGTGGTCTACATCCACTGTGGATCTAACAATAGCCCACCTTAACAGGGAAACTACTAGGGCTGTAGAGGACGTTCTACATTCAAGAGTCCTACCGATCTACAGTTGGAATCCCTCCTTAAATCTCAGTTTTTACTTACAGGCCCTCCCTTTCACCCTTTTCTGGCTGTGACTTTGTTAAACCATGACACAATGTGCAGGATCTCTCCAATGTGGTAGTGGATCTTTTACTGAGAAGCACGTGGAGCAGATGTTGGGAGCCTTATGCTTCTGTTGTGATGGCCTGCTAGAGACATCCTGACTTATCTCCAGTTTGAATCTTATGTCAGTACACATGCGCAAAGCACTCTGGTTAAATTACTTGAATGTGGGCACTGCGTCCAAGGTATGTCTGATCTGCTTGGTCTTCAAGTGATGACATTTCTTCAGAGTGGTCCTTGGCATTATTATTATTAAGGATATCAATGGAAGCAAAAGAACAAACTTATAATAGAATACAATAGTGTTGCTCTACCTCTTACAATAAAATAGTAGTGTGATGAAAATATACTGTGATGAAAATAATAATCAGTATAATCAATAAATATACAAACAGTGCGCAAGTGTAAATAAAGTCTTTGGGTGCTTAATCAGTCCTAAAAATGGAATGAATATTGTGCCTCCACAGAGAGTGCTCCACAGCAAAAACCGTTCTTATGCTTCCACTGACCGTGGCTCCACCACAAAATGAATTCACATTGAGGTAGATGTGTCAAGAGATATATATAAAAGAGAACAATATATGTCATCCATACATTTTGGTAGATGGGTAGAAGGCACTGCTAACCATGAGCTTAATATGATTAGGCATCTTACAACAGCTAAATGAGTCCAACTGGGCTGCTCGCCAGAGGTAATGTCAGTACAGTAATGATAGGCAACAACTTCAAAGGAGAAGTTTTGTAGAACTAAGAGGTGGGAAAGGGTGTAAGGTAGGGTAGAGGTAAGGGGGAGATCCTGGGGGAGTGGTTATGGGTTAAAAGGGAAGTTCAGAATATAGGAACCATACCAAAGTCCAGGGGCAGGAAGTGATCTATCCATGGATGCCTTTTATTGAATGAATGAATAAATTAACTTTTGTATATTTAGATATTCTATCCTGTATATTTGCCTCAATTTTCCAGTGAATCATGACCTGTATTATTCTATATTTGGTCTCTACTAGAGAAAGTTTCAGGGTCTTTCAGACATGTGAGACTGTTTAACCGTTGTGATAATCTGCAAGAGTACAGTGGGGATCGAAAGTTTGGGCACCCCAGCTAAAAATTTGTATTAATGTGCATAAAGAAGCCAAGGAAAGATGGAAACATTTCCAAAAGGCATCAAATTACAGATTAGACATTCTTATAATATGTCAACAAAAGTTAGATTTTATTTCCATCATTTACACTTTCAAAATAACAGAAAACAAAAAAATGGCGTCTGCAAAAGTTTGGGCACCCTGCAGAATTTATAGCATGCACTGCCCCCTTTGCAAATCTGAGACCTGCCAGTGTCATGGATTGTTCTCAATCATCGTCTGGGAAGACCAGGTGATGTCAATCTCAAAGGTTTTAAATGCCCAGACTCATCTGACCTTGCCCCAACAATCAGCACCATGGGTTCTTCTAAGCAGTTGTCTAGAAAACTGAAACTGAAAATAATTGACGCTCACAAAGCTGGAGAACTCTATAAGAAGATAGCAAAGCGTTTTCAATGTCAATATCCTCTGTTCGGAATGTAATTAAGAAATGGCAGTCATCAGGAAAAGTGGAAGTTAAAGCAAGATCTGGAAGACCAAGAAAAATATCAGACAGAACAGCTCGCAGGATTGTGAGAAAAACAATTCAAAACCCACGTTTGACTGCACGATCCCTCCAGAAAGATCTGGCAGACACTGGAGTTGTGGTACACTATTCCACTATAAAGAGATACTTGTACAAATATGGTCTTCATGGAAGAGTCATCAGAAGAAAACCTCTTCTACGTCCTCACCACAAAAATCATCGTTTGAACTTTGCAAATGAACATATAGACAAGCCTGATGCATTTTGGAAACAAGTTCTGTGGACCGATGAGGTTAAAATTGAACTTTTTGGCCGGAATGAGCAAAGGTACGTTTGGAGAAGAAGGGGCACAGAATTTAATGAAAAGAACCTCTGTCCAACTGTTAAGCATGGGGTTGGATCAATCATGCTTTGGGCTTGTGTTGCAGCCAGTGTCACAGGGAACATCTCACGAGTAGAGGGAAAAATGGATTCAATAAAATTTCAGCAAATTGTGGATGGTAACTTGATGCCATCTGTGAAAAAGCTGAAGTTAAAGAGAGGATGGCTTCTACAAATGGATAATGATCCTAAACACACCTCGAAATCCACAGGGGATTACATCAAGAGGCGTAAACTGAAGGTTTTGCCATGGCCTTCACAATCTTCTGACCTCAACATAATTGAAAATCTATGGATAGACCTTAAAAGAGCAGTGCGTGACAGACAGCCCAGAAATCTCAAAGAACTGGAAGACTTTTGTAAGGAAGAATGGGCAAAGATACCTCAAACAAGAATTGACAGACTCTTGGCTGGCTACAAAAAGCGTTTACAAGCTGTGATACTTGCCAAAGGGGGCAGTACAAGATATTAACTGTGCAGGGTGCCCAAACTTTTGCAGACGCCATTGTTTTGTTTTCTGTTATTTTGAAAGTGTAAATGATGGAAATAAAATCTAACTTTTGTTGACATATTATAAGAATGTCTAATCTGTAATTTGATGCCTTTTGGAGATTTTTCCATCTTTCCTTGGCTTCTTTATGCACATTAATACACATTTTTAGCTGGGGTGCCCAAACTTTCGATCCCCACTGTAACTTAAATTGAAATCTCATGAGTTGCTGAGGAGTGCTATAGCAGGATCAGGAGAGAGGGCTTTCCCAAATAGCATTGACAGGTTCCCAAATACTTTTGAACGAAAACATTTTAAAGTGATTCTAAAGCCTGTCAGTGGACACAGAGCCAGCTTGAAAGCGAGCACGCACGCGTGTCCCTATAGCAAGCGGCTTGCTATGGGGGCACACTCAGCAGGGGGGAGAAGCTGACAGTGCCATTGAGGGACCTGAAAAGGAGAATCAGGGATGCTCTGTGCAAAACCATTGCACAGAGCAGGTAAGTATGACACATTTGTAATTTAAAAATAAAATCCAAGGCTTTACTATTACTTTAGTTAACGGGCAGGATCACCATATATGGAGGTATATGTCAGTTTCACCACAGCCACAAAAACCTGCTGAGAAAAAAGGGCCTTTTCACACTTAAGCGCTTTTGATACAGGTTCAATGCATGTACTCAAGAGATCGATATGGCTGTACAGAGAAAACACACTCATGATACTACCATTGTTAAAATAGAGGATATAGCAAAAACGGGATCTTCTACTTTTTCAGGGGAAAAAACTCCCCAAATCTCCACCTCCTATATCTTTTATATGGTCATAAATCCACTCCCATAATCTGTGCTTTGTCTTGCCCATATAAAACGAAACGCAGGGGCACCTAAGTGTATATATGATGCCTGTAGTCTGACAAGAGCAAAATGTCACATTTTTAAAGTCTCGTCGTGGAAATGTGCCATTAAGAAGACCCACGCATGGAACCTCTCCAGGGTCAGACTCCTAATGGCTTGAAACCACCATCAGACTCCTAATGGCTTGAAACCACCATCAGACTCCTAATGGCTTGAAACCACCATGGCTTGAACTGAAGTGTTCCTTAAAAAAGGTAATCCTTGGAATAGGATCATCAAGTTCTCCTATAACCTTATCGCCTGTCAGAATGTGCCAATATTTTTTAAAGATGTTTCTAATGATATCTAATTGCAAATTGAATGGGGTAATGAATCTAGTCCTGTTAGAGGATTCCATTTTTTTCCCCTGAAAAAGTATAAGATCCCTAGGGCTTTCATTTACTCTCTGATAGGCACGTTTTAGTCAGTTTTTGCTATATCCTCCCTTCCTATCGTTTCTCTCAATTTAGAGACCTCTTCTTTGACAACAATTGGATCAGAACAATTCCTCTTTATCCTGGAGTGCTCACCCATTGGGATGCCCCCTACGTTATTAGCTGTAGATTTACTAAAACTATCTAGATAGATAGATACTGGGCACAGTGGATCACATAGTTACAGGTAACTGGGTATCATGTGATCACTATGATTGGTCATAGTGATCACACGATAACAATGTAAACAAACTGTCTTGAATGGATTTCCAGTCATGGAACAGCTTGCTTAGGGTTCTGATCTGTGATTGGCACACAACAATCACATGGTACCTGGCTACCTGTACCTTGTGATTAGCTATAGCCGATCACAGCCATAAGCAAGCTGCCCATGTTATCCTATTCAATGTTATCCCATTCATGACAGCTAAAACTAGTGCTTATACAATGATCATCACTGTATAAGCAATAGCAATGTACAAAAAGAAAAAAAATCCTGATCTGATGAAGGTAGGTAAAAAGAAATAGTAGAAAAAAAAAAGAAAAGAAAAATGTAAAAAGAGAAAAAAATCTTTATTTTTCAGCATGCTGTCACCAGTCAGCATCCCTGTTCACTACCACACCAGTCATATTATGATGCTGTACTGCACTGGTGACAGTATATAAAAAAAAAAGAAAAAAAAACAAGTATTTAATTTCTTCATTTTCCAAAAAATTACAACTTCCAAAAATTCACCGCCATGCCTCAAAATACCTTGGACTGTCTACTTTGCAAAGAGAGGTCATTTCACTGTACTGTTCTGACATTTTAGGGCCTCAAGAGATCGGCTGTCAGTACATCAAAACTGATCAGTTTTCAAATATTATATATATACCCTAGTTTATAGACTCTAAACCTTTCACACAGACTAAATTATATGCACTGATTTTGGTTATTTTTACCAAAGAAATGTAGCAGACATGATTTATTTTCCATTTTCATACACAGTAACAAAAGAAAAACACTTGTTTTTAAAATTTTGTTTAAATACACCAGCTCTGTTTGTCTAAAAAAAATATATATATATAAATTTCAGTTGCGCTTGGTGCTGCATGACCAAACAATTACGAGTTAAAGTAGGACAGTGCTAAATAGCAAAAAATTCCCTGGTCATGAAGAGAGTAAAATTATCCGGAGGGCAAGTGGTTAAAGACCATGGGATGCTCTGCTACATAAGCCCATTGCTGCTTTATCTGAAAACTAGTTTCTTTTTTATTTTCGTGATCACCAAGCAGACAGTAGTTAAGGCCTGGGAGTTCTCTCCTCTAAATTACCATAAAGTATTGCAAACAATGACCTTCATGATACACATGATTAGATTTATGAAGGTTTGACCACCCACTTAAATAACCTTTTCCTACTCTTGTATGGGTAGTGAATGTGGCTGAGGCATTAGTGTGTTTAGTATCATATTCCTAACTTCAATGCTCTTAGATTGTAAGCTCCAAGGATCAGGCCCTCTTAACCCTCTTGCTTTGAACTGTATTGTTGCTGTATTGTCTCCCTTTTTTTTTTGTAAAGCGGTGAGCAAACTGTTGGCGCTATATAAATCCTGTATAATAATAATAATGTGTCTTTCAGTTTATCAAAATTTACCTTAAAGTGTTACTTCACAATCTCAATCAACCTTGACTCTTTTTAATCATGCTGCTATCATTAGTAAAGAGAGATAAAAGTATGCCATATTTACTTGTTTTAAACGTTTGTTTCTACATTTCTACAGTTACTTCTTGGTTTACATGCCTAGACAAATGATGTCATGCATACCAGGAGTCTTTAGGAGGGGAGGAGAGGTTTTCTCACTTGAGAACACCCTCCTGTCTGCATGCCTGAGCTAAGGACAGATGGATTCCAGGAGGTAAATGCTACATAAAACATCTGCCCTCACTCAAGATGGCCATGCCCAGAAATGCTAGGGGGCTATTTACCAGCAATATAAAGCATGAAGACATGGATGGATGGGGGAGTTTGCTTTGAATATTAAAAACGAATTAAATTGCGTTTTTGGTTTGTGCCCAGATGCAGTGTAGTTCTGCTTTAATTATAATTGTTAACAGGCTTATTAATTTCTGCCTCTTTCTTGTAGATCATGATGTGTTCTATGTATGGCATTTGTAAGGCAAAGAACATTGATCTACGATTCAAGACTATTGTTACTGCATACAAGCAGCTTACAAATACAAACCAAGAGGTAAATGGTTTTCTTGTTTACATTTTTGTGCTTGCTTGAAATGCTTACAGATCTCCACACACACATTTTGTTAGAAATTTGCCAGTCGTTTTTATGAAAGCCATACCTGACGTATCTCCAGTGCATAAGGTTATGCAGCTGCAATTCTCTTCACCAAAGCTGGCCTGGAAGTAAAAAGCAACTCAGGCACATATCCTCTACTTAACCAAGCTTTGACACATGACACAGGAGATTTTTTTCCTAGATCATGGGTTATATGCCACTTTTAGGTGATTGGACACCACCCAACGTGTACCCATATAACCCCACCCTCTCTGTGAGGCTCCTTTTTGCTAGTGTCCTCAGGTGAAACGTTTTTCGTCAATTTTCCTCCTTTTTTCAACTGACACTTCTATGACTATCCAATTGCTTTTTCCCATATGGCTCTCTAGCAGTTTCGGAATTTTTTTATCCTAAAAAGTTTGGGAACCAAACCCAGATCCCAAACAGCAGAGCTAGCCTGTAATGTACTCGTTGGGCACTGGATTCTGTGTTCAACATTTACCATGCTACGTGATGCAGTGAGTGAGTAACCTACAGGTTGCTATACAGATCCAGGGTCGTGGACCATTCCTACGGCACCCAGACCCTGTAGACCCCTTCAGGGGTATGCCCACAGTTAGAAGTGAAGCCTGAATCCTGGACAAGACCAGCAATGTGGATAAGGTAAGACAGGGTTTCCCTGTATCCTTACATGTCAGTTCTTGGCTTTTTGGATTATTACCTGTATACAGTGCTCAGCATAAAGGAGTACACCTCAAAAGATTTGTCCCATTTTCTATGGGACACTATACTACAAAACACGTCCACATATGCGGGCCATTGATTGCAAACAAGATTTGTTAATTTGCACACACAAAAAAGTATTTTTCCTAACAAATTCATTCAAGACCATGTTGCAAAAATGAATACACCCCAATGAAAGTCCTAGGAGCAAAGCTAAAGTTTAGACAACAAAATCCTAATTAACAAGAATTCAACTACAGGTGAGTCTAATTATTCATGAAATAGGTGTCCAGCAGACAGTTGATTATAAAAGGGTGTTACTTAACAAGGAAAACCCCTTCCCATTTCATGCTGTCAGCAATGACACCACATGGAAGAGAAATGTCACAATGCCTGAGAAAGAAAATAATTTATTTTGACAAGAAAGGTGAAGGCTACAAGAAGATCAGCAAAGCTTTAAATATCAGTTGTATTCATTTTTGCATCAACTACTTTGAGTAAGATTGCAGATTTTGTAATCTAGGTTATATTATTAACCTTACTTTCATGTAATGAGCTAAACAAATGTTCTATAAAAATTTGTCACATTTTTGTAAATTGTTCTTGTGTTCATTGAGATATTGATTAGAATCTTACTTTTCAAATGGGGTGTACTCATTTATGCTGAGCGCTATATGTAGTAGATAATACTCAATATCCTTCTACAAAACCTACCACAGTACTAAGCACAGAAGCGGTCTGGAAGGCACAGGTTATGGTGTAATCTATACTCTTAGAGCATTCACTCTGACTGTCTTGCCCTTACTGGTAACACTAATTTAATGTTTACCTATTTAAAATTGGTGGTCTTTTCTTCCACCTCACTACCAAAAGCTTCTCTGTGGTTAGTGGTGTAATGCTTAGAAGATTCGTAACTGTACACTTTTGGCTGCTATTCTGCCAGCAACTCAAGTGGTTTCACCTGTTGCCTGATACTCACAGAGGCAGACAGAGGAATTCAGTGCCTGGAATATTGCGATTTCTTCATACCTGCCACACTGGGCCCATCAGTCCAGATTCATTCACTGTGTACCCTGCAGGGAAATAGCCTCGCTTAGCAATGGTGGATTACAGACTCCCAGGAACACATTGGTTGAAGCAATGCATTCCAATCTCTGGATAGATTCACACTTTTCTGCTCTTCACCCACAAATACGTCCGTGCATGAAAAAAAGGGCAATTTTTAGAAAGTCTTTCCCGATTTCTTGTTCAACCTGACTGGACCTTATATAATAATGGCCCAGCTAAGAGAGTTAGTCAGTAATGAATTTTCTCCAATTATAGATGATCCATAATCTTTGCTACAAGATTGCAACTCTTGCCCTCTTCACTTTTATATGTAGACACCATGGAGAAGGTGTTCTGTCATATCTCCTTACTTTTTGTGCATATGTACAGAATCTAGTGGTTTAAAACTTGGTCATCAGAACACCGTTGCGTGCCTTTTGCCCTTCAGTGGGAAACTCCTCTTTGGAAGTTTCCTTGAGGAATACATTGAGGCAGCTACTGAAAGACAGGGGTTCCTAACCCTCTATCCTCATGCTTCTCTATTAAATGTGCCTCCCCTACCATACTGATATAATCTGTTCACACCCTTAGGGAGCCATCTACTGCAGGTCCTTCACTTCGTGGCAGACCCCTCATGACTAAGGCCACTGTTCCTACTCAGACACCTCCTTCACAGTAAAAGTTGTCCCCACCCCTTAATGAGAAAGGGGGCAAGAGGGACGTTTATTGACAAAAGCTCCATATTAAAGAACAGACATCCCAGTCTTTGTGTACCTCTCCAAGTGTGCCTTTGTTTACCTCTCTTTGTGTCCTCTGTCTGTTGTTGTTTTTTTTTTTCTCAGGTTCTTCTGGGGAACTTCTTTCGGACATCTAATTTCCAGCATCTCCACTATAGGCCACTGAACCTACTTCTCACTACTTGCGGACGTTTGCTCAATTACATGAACCCCATTTTTTTCCTACACAGGCCTCCCTGGTGTACAACGCTGCCCTGAGTTTTCAGATGTCGTCTCTCCCTGTATTAGAGTTCAGGATCAGCAGGATACCTGTTTTGCAACTTGGGAAGTCCTCCTTCTCTAGCCTCCTAAAAAGAACTGGCCTTGGCACTGGTCAATTTCTTATGTTGACCTAGTACTGGAAAAGGTTGTATTTCCCCTTTTCTCAGTACACTTGTATGTGCTTGTTTCCCCTCCACATGCAGTTTGTAGGTACCTAGGAACTTGCCTACCCATCTCATCAAATGTCCTGCCTTGAAGTGCGTGGGGTCAGGTCTGTCATCTATTTCTGCCTGCTATATATTCCTTTGTCAACTGACCTCTCTTCCATTACTCACAAGGAATTCCTCCCTCATCTTATTGCTTACTAAAAAAAAAACCTGTTGCCTCACAAAGTGTGTGTGATATAGATGTATACTTGTAGGTGGATCCCAGCAAAGCTTTTGCCTGTGTCCAGTCACCTTAAGATCTTGGCACATAACCCATGGTCTTAGAATCAACTCCTGTGTCCTTTACTGTACTTCAAGATATGAAATTTATAGGTACGTCAAAATTCCTATTTTCTATTTTAGCCATATAAATAATAGCAGTGACCAAATACACAGTGTATTGAACATTAAAACATTGTGATGTGAGCAGTATGTGTAGCCCACAAACATTCTAACATTTCTCAACACCAATCCATCTCAAAGATTTTAGGTTGCCTTGCTGTCCATGAGGTTAAATGTGTGGCTTCTGGTGTAGTTGGGGGCGGAGCCTAATCATGGCTGCAGCGGAGAGCTCGTGGTAGGAGCTTTCGGCCGGAGCCCCTCCGACCGACCACCTTGTACCTATCCACAAAATGTCCCTGTAATATAGAGCCCTAGAAGCCTGAGACCTACCTCGGTCTGGCGGGCTTCCTTGGCTGAGAGGCGGCCTGCGTGAGGAAGAGCTGGGGAACGGAGATCATCGGAGAGAGACGGGGATGCTGAACGTGGTTGCCGGGAAACAAGGAGGCGAGGCCGGGACATGTGACCGGCCGCAGTGCATTCCTGGGAGCGAGGAAGCCAGCCGGCCGGCTGGAGGCCGACGGAGGAACAGGAGAGATACCGTCCTGCTGGAAGACTAGCCACTGCTGGAGTCCGTGGAGGTGAACTGTGAGGAACTGCCCTGCACAACAAGTAAACGGAGGAAAGTCCTGGAGGGCCCCCCTGAGAACAAGAGAGTCGATCTGCTGGAGAATTGGAGCCTGGAGCAGTCTCATGAGAGGAGCAGGGAGGGTGAGTGACTCCGGCTGTGACCTCAAACATAAAAACTGTGTTGATTCTGGAGAGACTGTGTCGAGCTGAAGGAGGACAGAGAGAGAGAAAAGGGGGGGGGGGGTCCCCAGAGAATATAAAGGAGAAGAACGTAAGGTGTAGGCAAAAAAAAACACAGAAAAGCTAACAGAAGGGCTGGGATCTCTATCTCTATATCATACTGATTTCTTCCTTCTCTGTGTAAAATTCAAGATATGTGAGAAAAATAAAAGAAATAGAAGAAATGAAAAATAAAAGTGCAAAAGGAACCGGGCCTAAAGGAACCCAATGGGTACAATTAAAAAGTACACATCCCAGGGAAACCTGACCCCGGAAAGGCACCAGAGTAGAAATGACAAAGAAGAACTAGATTTAAGTATGCAAAGTAGTCCTAAACAATTAATGGATCTTGACATCAGCAGTCAACAAATATCAGAGACAGAAAATGAACTACAAATCCCAAATAAAAAAGAGATGACAGAGATGTTTAAAAATCTGGAGAAAACTATAAAGCAAGAAATGGTAAATATTCGGAGTGATCTGGGGCAGCTGCTGTTAAGAGTGGAGGAAACGGAGCAGAAAGTTAAAAATCAGACCCAGAACATTTCCGAATTAGAAAAGAAGATAATTAATATGGAAAAAGTTCAGGAAAAATTGCTGTATAAGGCGGAAATTCAAGAGAATAGAGAAAGAAGGAGAAATATAAGGATAAGAGGAGTACCAGAAAGCCTAAAAGGAGAACTAATGGAAGAGGCGGTTTGTAAAATTCTGAACTTTATAACGGGATACTCTGATATGGAAAGGACTGATATAGAAAGTCTCTTTTAGAAATGGGAGACTCCAGGTGAACCGTGAGAAGGACAGGCCAAGAGACATACTTGTTAAATTTTATGAACTGCAGCAAAGGGAAAGAATC